GGTGTCCATGCAGCACCTGAACATTATTCTCACCATGATCTGGAGCCACGTCAGTCAGTATGGCTTCCTATCTACAGGACATCAGACATTTGTACGAGGTCCTCCTGCTTCATTCTTCAAGGCCATCTATGACTCAATGAACACAGAAGACACTGAAATTAGTGATCCAATGGATATTTTAACTATTGCTGAAGAATCTAACATTGTGCCAAAAGGATTTACAGAAGATATCTACAAGAGTGAAAACCATGAATTTCTCATTAAACTGAAAACAGTGAGTCAGGATGCTATGGTTGACTTTTTCAAAGAAATTGAGGACTATGTGCCCTATGGCTTTACTGTTTACACACTAGATGACAAGGGACTGCTCTGTCTTCAAAAGTGCAGTTCATACAATGACCAGGACATCCCAGAGCTTTCATTTCTTGTCTTGGAGGAAGCATTGTGTTGTCCTCTCTATGAGTCAGAAGAAGTTCTTGTCAAGCCCATTGCAGAATTGATCTCTGAGAGGATTCAGTACACCCCATGTGAAAACAATAAAGACAAAATCAGCATTCCTGGATTCTTGAAGACTCTGGTGGAGAAGAAAGTCTCAGTGTGGGTTCAGAATGCCTTTCTGGCAATGTTACTGAAACAAGGACAAGAATATGTCGTAGAAAATGACAACGTCTGTCCAGTGGACTTCAGATCCACTGGTATTGTTGAACTGAATAAGAAATGGGGTGATGGTCTGCAGCAGTTTGTCGAGATTAAACACCAAGTCAAACTGAGCACAATTTCAACAGTGACAAACTACATTTCCAACGTTTCTTTTTTTGAGAAATACCAGGGGAAAATATACGGAACAACAGGAACACTGGGGAGCAAAGCAGACATTCAGTTTTTGCAGGACCTGTATCCAAATCTCTCTGTGTGCAAAATACCAACATTCAACAGGAAAAAGTTATTTGAGGTCAAAGGTACTCTGAAAAAAACAGCTGAAGAATGGGAATCTGAAATAAAACATGTGGTCACAGCTCAGATTTCCCCAAATTCATACAGAGAAGGAAGAGCAGCGTTGGTGATCTGTGAAACTATAAACAAAGCCAAAGAGATCTACGAAGAGCTGAAGAGCAGCATCCCAAATAAAAAATTGATTCTCTACTGCCGCAGTGACAGAGACAGTTTGAGTAAAATAGACAAGGAGCTGCTTCCTGGTGATGTCATTGTTGCCACAAACCTTGCCGGCCGTGGCACAGACATTAAAGTGTCCACAGAGGTGAACAATAATGGAGGGTTATTTGTGATCCTCTCCTTCCTCTCCGAGAACACAAGAGTGGAACTCCAGGCTTTTGGACGAACTGCACGCAAAGGTAAACCTGGATCTGCTCAGATAATCATCTCCACTGACCACCTGCAGCCATCTTACAAAACAGTGTCCTCTCTGGAGGAAGCCAAGAGCACAAGGGACCGACTTGCAGCAGAAAAGATAAATCACATAATGAATGATGTTGCTGAGATGAAACTGCGGGAGGACCTGTTTTCAGAATACCTCGAAACACTTCAAGATATTTATAACACCACTGATGGAGACAAGGAAAGAGCTGATGTTGACATCATGAATGAGTTCTGGGGGATTTGGCTGCAAACTAAATCAGAAGAAATTGATCAGTTGAAGAGAAATGAACTGCAAGAGAGTCTGAAAGCTGATTTGTCAAAGGCAAAAAGTCAGTCTGAAAGTCAGACTTCACCATGTTCCAGCATTTATCACTACATCAAGTTTGGAAATATTGCACTGGATGAAAAAAAGTGGGAT